GGACTGGGAGGGACTGGGAGGGAACTGGGACGGACTGGGAGGGACTGGGAGGGAACTGGGACGGACTGGGAGGGAACTGGGAGGGACTGGGACGAACTGAGACGGACTGGGACGGACTGGGAGGGAACTGGGAGGGACTGGGACGAACTGGGACGGACTGGGACGGACTGGGAGGGAACTGGGAGGGACTGGGACGAACTGGGACGGACTGGGAGGGACTGGGAGGGGTTCTTGGGGGGTCTGGGGTAAAAAGGGGTCACTGGGCTGGCTGTGGGGGGAAGTTGGGGTGCACTGGGGGGTGAATTGGGGATGATGAGGGGTCCCCTGACCCCTTTTCCCCCCCCAGGCAGCGGGATGGGGCCGGGTTGTGTTTAAGGGCTGGTTTTGGTGTCCTGGGCCAGTTTTGGGGTCCCGGGCTGTATTTGAGGGTGGTTTTGGGGTCTCAGGTTCTGTTTGGGGCTGGTTTTGGGGTCCTGGGCTGTTTTTGGGGTCCTGGGCTGTATTTGAGGGTGGTTTTGGGGTCTCAGGTTCTGTTTGGGGCTGGTTTTGGGGTCCTGGGCTGTATTTGAGGGTGGTTTTGGGGTCCCGGGCTGTTTTTGGGGTCCCGGGCTGTTTTTGGGGTGCCGCTGACCCCTCTCCCCCACAGGCAGCGGGATGACCCCGGGCGGGGCCGGGTTCTCCCCCAGCGCCGCCTCCGACGCCTCCGGCTTCAGCCCCGGCTACTCCCCGGCCTGGTCACCCACACCCGGCTCGCCGGGGTCCCCCGGCCCCTCCAGCCCCTACATCCCCTCCCCCGGTGAGTACAGCCCCGAAAACACCCCAAAACACCCTGAAATAACCCCAAACACCCGAAAACACCCTGTAACACCCAGCAACAACCCAGAACTCACTGAAACACCCTAAAACACCATGAAATAACCCCAAACACCCGAAAACACCCTGTAACACCCAGCAACAACCCAGAACTCACTGAAACACCCTAAAACACCCTGAAATAACCCCAAACACCCGAAAACACCCTGTAACACCTAGCAACAGCCCAGAACTCACTGGAACACCCTGAAATAACCCCAAACACCCTCAGAACACCCTGTAACACCCAGCAACAACCCAGAACTCACTGGAACACCCTGNCACTGGAACACCCTGAAATAACCCCAAACACCCTCAGAACACCCTGTAACACCCAGCAACAACCCAGAACTCACTGGAACACCCTGAAATAACCCAAAACTCCCTGTAACACCCAACAACACCCCAGAACTCACTGGAATACCCTAAAATAACCCAGAACACCCGTAAAATACCCTGTAACCCCTAACAACAGCCCAGAACTCACTGAAACACCTGAAAATACCCTGAAAATAACAAAACCACCCTCAAAACACTGCGTAACCCCTAACAACACCCCAAACACACTGAAACACCCTAAAATACCCTTAAAATAATGAAAACACCCGTGAAACACCCTATAACACCTGACAACACCCCAAACACACTGAAACAGCCTGAAATAACACAAAAGATCCATAAAATACCCTGTAACCCCTATCAACACCCCAAAACTCACTGAAACACCCCAAAACAGCCCCATAGCAGCCCATCACTGAGCCCCACAACACCCGAACAGCACCTCAAAGGGACCCCCTACACCCCACCACCAGCAACAGCCCCACAACACCTGAACCACACCTCAAAGGGCCACACAGCCCTCTACAACACCCCCACAACACCCCACCACCCTCCCCAACACCCTCCTGACCCCCGTGTCCTCTCTCCGCAGGTGGGGCCATGTCCCCCAGCTACAGCCCGACGTCCCCCGCCTACGAGCCGCGGTCGCCGGGGGGCTACACCCCACAGAGCCCCAGCTACAGCCCCACCTCGCCCAGCTACAGCCCCACGTCCCCCAGCTACAGCCCCACCTCGCCCAACTACAGCCCCACCTCGCCCAGCTACAGCCCCACGTCCCCCAGCTACAGCCCCACCTCGCCCAGTTACAGCCCCACCTCTCCCAGTTACAGCCCCACGTCCCCGAGCTACAGCCCCACCTCGCCCAGTTACAGCCCCACCTCGCCCAGCTACAGCCCCACCTCGCCCAGCTACAGCCCGACGTCCCCCAGCTACAGCCCCACCTCGCCGAGCTACAGCCCCACCTCGCCGAGCTACAGCCCCACCTCGCCCAGTTACAGCCCCACTTCTCCCAGTTACAGCCCGACCTCGCCCAGTTACAGCCCAACATCCCCAAGCTACAGCCCCACCTCGCCCAACTACAGCCCCACCAGCCCCAACTACACCCCGACCTCTCCCAGCTACAGCCCCACCTCTCCCAGTTACAGCCCCACCAGCCCCAACTACACCCCGACCTCACCCAACTACAGCCCCACCTCGCCCAGCTACAGCCCCACGTCACCCAGCTACAGCCCCACCTCGCCCAGTTACTCCCCGTCCAGCCCCCGCTACACCCCGCAGTCGCCCACCTACACCCCCAGCAGCCCCAGCTACAGCCCCAGCAGCCCCAGCTACAGCCCCACCTCCCCCAAGTACACCCCGACCAGCCCCAGCTACAGCCCCAGCTCCCCCGAGTACACCCCGACCTCGCCCAAGTACAGCCCCACCTCGCCCAAGTACAGCCCCACCTCGCCCAAGTACAGCCCCACCTCGCCCACCTACAGCCCCACCTCGCCCAAGTACAGCCCCACCTCGCCCACCTACAGCCCCACCTCGCCCGTCTACACCCCGACGTCGCCCAAGTACAGCCCCACCTCGCCCACCTACAGCCCCACCTCGCCCAAGTACAGCCCCACGTCACCCACCTACAGCCCCACCTCGCCCAAGGGCTCCACCTACAGCCCCACGTCCCCCGGCTACAGCCCCACCTCACCCACCTACAGCCTCACCAGCCCGGCCATCAGCCCCGACGACAGCGACGACGACAACTGAGGCTCGGCCTGTGGGCGCGGGGGTGGCACCCCCCGAAACCCCCGCCCCAGGCCGTGGGCGTGACCCCCAGATGGCCACGGGGGCGGGGCTGTTGTCGCTCCCCAACAACCCCACCTCGATCCGGGCACGGGGTTGTCGTCACCCCCGAACCCCGCAGGCCGTGGGGGTGACCCCAGCATTGATTTGGGGCCGCGGTGGTTGTCACCCCCCAAAAACCCGGATGGATACGGGGTCGGGAGCGTCACCCCCTGAACCCCCGAATTCTGACGGGCTCGGGGTGGTTGTCACCCCCGAACCCCGCAGGCCGCGGGGGTGACCCCAAAACTCACACAGGGGCGGCGGCGTCACCCCCACGCTGCAGTGGGGTCGGGGGTGTCACCCCCCCAAAACCCACAACAGCCGTGGGGGTGACACCCGAATTCCCGTGGGAACGGGGTTGTCACCCCCAAACCCCAACGTCCAACGGCAACGGCGGTGTCACCCCAAATGCAAATGTGCTTGGGGTTGTCACCCCAAATGCAAATGAGCTTGGGGTTGTCACCCCAAATGCAAATGAGCTTGGGGTTGTCACCCCCAAACCACCAAGTTTCGGTGGGGACAGGGCTGTTGTCACCCCCCGGGTCCCCACGGACTGTTGGGGTGACCCTGGAATTGGGGTGACACCAGAGGGTGGTGATGGCCAAATTTGGGGTCCCCCCCCAGAACTGGAGGGACCCTCAGGTTTGAGGGGGAACTTGACCCCAAAGTTCAGAGGGGGCAACCCCCAAACTCGGGGGGACCCCCAAACTCGGGGGGACCCCTAAATTAGAGTAAAACCCTAAATCGGGGTGAAACCCTAAATCGGGGGGTTGATCCCCAAACCCGGCTCTGACCCTTAAATTTGGGGTGACCCCCGAGCCGAGGGTGACCCCCCCCCCAAGTTAGAGGTGACCCCCAAGTCGGGGGGGGGGAGGGGCTGGTGTGGGAGCCCCCCCCCCAGTTTTGGGGGGGCCGGTGGGGGGTTGTAATTTATGGGGTTCGTTAATGAGGGGGAGGGGGAGGGGGGCGCTCGGTGGTGGCGGTTTGGGGGTTCGGGGGGGGGGTCCTCTGCCCCTCCCCCACCCCCCATTTATTTTGCTGTTTTGACTTTCGGGGTTGTTGTGGGGGGAGGGGAAGAGAATTTTGGGGGATTTCAGATTTTGGGGGCAGTTAATAAAAGTTTTATTGATTTTCACCCGTGACTTTTTTTTGGGGGGAGAGAGGAGACCCCAAAATTCCTCATTTGGGGCCACCTGGACACACCTGGGCACCTGTGGGGGGGCCCTGAGGGACTTGAGGGGGACGTGGAGGAACATCACGGTGGGTATGGCTGGGTCCTGGAGGAACATCACGGCTGGGTCGTGGTGGCCACGGTTGGGTTGTGGTGGCTGTGGTTGGGTCATGGTTGAGTCATGGTGGCCATGATTGGGTCATGGTGGCCGTGGTGGCTGTGGTTGGCTGATGGTGACCATGGTTGGGTCATGGTTGGGTTGTGGTGGCTGTGGTTGGGTCATGGTGGCCATGGTTGGGTCATGGTTGGGTTGTGGTGGCCATGGTGGCCGTGGGTGGGTGATGGTGGCCATGGTTGGGTCATGGTGGTCATAGTTGGGTTGTGGTGGCTGTGGTTGGGTCATGGTGGCCGTGGTTGGGTCATGGTTGGGTCAAGGTCGCCATGGTTGGGTCCCAGCTGCCCCAGGACCCTTTTGGTGTCATTTTTGGGGTCCTGGGACCCTTTTGGTGTCTTTTTTGGGGGTCCCAGGACATTTTAGGGGTTGGTTCTGGAGGTCCCAGCTCCCCCAGGACCGTTTCGGGGTCGGTTTTGGGGGTCCCAGGTACCCCTGGGCCCTTTTGGGGTCGGTTTTGGGCTCCCGGGACCCTTTTGGGGTCGTTTTTTGGGGTCCCCAAATCGCGGGCGTCCCTTTTGGCGGGAAAAGCCGAGGCCCCGCCCACAGAGGGAGGCGCCAATCCGACCCGCGCCTTTCCCATATATGGCGATGTGGGCGTGGCCCGGAGGGGGCGTGGCCCGGAGGGGGCGTGGCCCGGAGGGGCGTGTCCCGGAGGGGGCGTGGCCTCGACTGTCATGGCGGCGCCCGTGGCGGACGGTGCGCGCGGGGGCGCGCGGGAGGATTTTGGGGTTTTTTTGGGGAGGATTTTGGGGTTTTTTTGGGGAGGATTTTGGGGTTTTTTTGGGGAGGATTTGGGGTTTTTTGGGTGGATTTTGGGTTTTCTTGGGGAGGATTTTGGGGTTTTTTTGGGGGAGGATTTTGGTTTTTTTTTGG